CAGATTATAAATTCTACCAATGCAATTTGAACCATCAAAATAAAACAACACTATAAACTTCTTTATTAGCACTAAAACAAGTCTGTCATAGGAAAAAACAGGCTAGTTTAACATTTTGTGGCATGTCAGATAATAATTTTATTTACATTTGCATTCTGTTGATGCATGAAGCAAACCAATAGCCAGCTCTCCAATGACCACTCTAAAGTTTCATGATTCCTGTTCCCCCAATATAAGTCAATCACAAAAGAGAAAAAAGAATCTCTAAATTTTCATAAAGGAGAATTGTTGCTCCTCTGCTGAGGTTAGGAAATTTCTTCTGCTTTGGTGGAATATTTCCTCCCAACTTTTAGTTCACAAGGTTTTTTTGGTTTTTTGTTTTTCTTTTTTAGAAAAGCAAAAGATGCTCTTTACTACTTTGGAAATTTTTTATTTTTTATTTTTATTTTTATTTTTTATACTCAGCAAACTGCCACAAGAACAGAAAACCAACCATCACATATTCTCACTCATAAGTGAGTGTTGAACAATGAGAACGCATGGACATAGGGAGGGGAACATCACACACGGGGGCCTGTCAGGGGGTGGGGGTGCTAGAGGAGGGATAGCAGCGGGTGGGGGGATTGTGGAGGGCTAACATTAGGAGAAATACCTAATGTAGATGATGGGGGGATGGATGCAGCAAACCACCATAGCATATGTATACCTATGTAACAAAACTGTGCAATCTGTTCATGTATCCCAGAACTTAAAGTTCACAAAGTTTTTGTGGGTTCCACTACCAGGTCCTGGAAAAAAAGCCTGCAACCTCGGGCCACACCACCCAGTACCATCCCTCCCAGCAGTTGGCTCAGGGATGGCAACGTGACCCAGAATAGCCAGAGAAGGAGTGAATACTTGGACTTCCATAGGAACTGTAAGAAAAAGACAGTTCAACTGGACTTCTGATTGAAAGAGTGAGGTTAAGGAAGCTGTGGTCTTCTTTTGACCTCAGAGTCAGAACCTAACTGCAAAAGGAACAAGATGGAGAAGAGAGAACTGAAAGATAGAGAGAAACATGATCCGAAACCAAACATGCTCCTGGTTGTTTCAATTACACACAAGGCAATACATTTTCCTTTTAGTGCAATCCAATTTGAATTGGCTTTTCTGTCACTTGTATGAGAAAATATCTTAATTGAAACAGTATTCAATAAAGGTAAAGATGCCCAGAAGACACGACGCCTGTTTATCTCATTTACATCGTACCTATTATATGCTAAACACGTCCTTAACCTTGAGGTCTTATAGCCCAGTGAGGGAAAAGGCTCGTGCCATACAGAATAGACACCAACACAAGCCAATGTGGGGTAAATGCCAAATGAAACATGCCAGCAGTGTGATGAGCACCGGGGATACAGGAAAGCACAACCTGGGGAGCTAGTGGCTCTGATACACCGGCACCCAGCGCATCAGAGCTGTGAAGGCTGCAAGCCCAACTGACGCCTTTACAATCCACGGGATCTTGCATTTGTTCTATTCGGGCATAAGTAGAACAACTATTAACTGTATGTGCATTGTGTGCACCTGAATATGCATACAAATCCCACAACATGACAAGTAAGGCTAAATACATCTCCAACTTCTAAAATTAATCCAGAGCAAAAATAATAATAAAAGACAGGAAAGAAAAAAACAATATATAGTAAGTCCCTGGACTTCATTTCCCTTCTTCCTTAACTTCCACTGAACTTTTAACTAGTAAACTTGGGGAAATGATTTTTATAACTTTTTCTTCTGAAATAATCATAGATTCAGTGGAAGTTGCCAAAAAAAAAAAAATGCAGAGAGTTCCCAAGTCTCCTCTCAGCCTCCCAAAATTACAATATCCTGTACAGCTACAGTAGGATGTCAAAACCAGGAAATGGATGTCGGCACAATCCACAGAGCTAATTCCGAGTTTACCAGTATTACTTGTTACTAGTGTACAGCATGGGCTGTGATGTGTGTGTGCGTGTGTGTGTGTGTGTGTGTGTGTGTGTAGCTCTATGCAACTTTATCATCTGTGTAGATACAAGACACAGAATTATTTCATCATCACAAAATTCCCTAGTGCTGTCCCTCTAATTCCTGGCAGCCACTAGTGTCTTCTCAGCTCTCTGTAACGGTTCTCTATCTCCACAATTTTGTTCATTTCAAGAATGTCACACAAATAGAATCATACAGCATGTGCCCTTTGAGACTGACTTTTTGTACCCAGCATAACTCCATGAAATCCATCTAAGCTCCCACATGCAACACTGGCTTATCCCTCCCAATGGCTGAGCAGTGTGCCGTGGTACAGGTGCACTCCAGCCTATTCAAGCATTCACCTACAGAAGGACACATGTGTTGCTTCCCGTTTGGGATTACTATGAATAAAGCTGCTACAAACATTCATGTACATGTTCTTTGTGAAAATGAATTTTTATTTCTTCAAGATAAATGCCCAAGAAGGCAACTGGCAAATGACTTTTAAAAGATTTAATTTTCAGTCACCTCACGCATCCCAAAGAAACCTCACTATTCCCTGCCTCTGCATTCTTGGGCTTCAAAAGGCAATGCTATTGCTGGTCTCTGTAATTCCCACCAGATGCAACATCTAAATGTTGGCTGAGCCGAGTGAGACAGCATGTTTTTCTGATTTTGAATTCAATAGATTGAACATTTTCTGAACCTGCTGCCTGGAAACAAGCAGCTGAGAGTAACAAGATCAGATCTCTGTCTCATACAGAGGAGCTTTAGGTGTCAACTAGGCTCTCTTTAGTGGCTGGAACCAGCCACCAAGCTGTGATTCCTGCTTCACAGTCTAGTAAATAGTTCATAAAATTGCAGGCCAGTAACGTATTTTTGAAGTCTCTTATCCAAACCACTTTCCAATACTTGAATTCCCAAAATAAAATATGGCGGGTACCTAGAAAACCTCAGTTCTTTCTTTGTCGGAGTGCTACGTCTTCCCAAAATCATATTTGTTAAGAAAGGAGGCAAGTCACTGAGGTATGATTCAATTGTTGAACTGTCAATGAATTTCCTCTAACGTGTGGTGGTATCAAGTCTGTTTCTTGTTCCACTAAGAGACAAAAAGAATGTCACTTGCATCCTAGGGAAAACACATGCAATAGGCCAAAAGAAGAAGAAAAATGCATTTTTTGAAGTGCACACAGAGTTTCCAATTACTTTATTAAATTAGGCAAAGGTTTTCTCACTCAATCCATGCTTTCCATACTTGTATCTAAAGTTAAACACATACGCAGTGGGGCCGTGGGTGACAGCCTGTGCAGTGAGCCTTGTAGATTCAGACACATCTGCCCAAAGGCCCAAATCATGCCAAGTACTACATGGGAAAGGAGAAAATGCAAATTCAGCCATTCATTCCACGAGTAATGATGGAACGCTTATGATACACAGGCCCAGTGAAAAATGTATGTGATTCATAGTGGTGCACAGGACACATAAAACCTGTCCTCTTGCAGATTAGACAGGGTTCCATGCAGCATGTTCAGGTATATAGTAGCAGAAGTACAAAATGCTTTGAGAGCATGAAGAAGGGGGACAAACCTGAGTTGGGCAGTTGAGATGCCTTTCTGAAGACCATGGAATATAAACTGGCCCCTCAGTAGGAAACAGCCAGGTGAAGTGAGGAAAACAGAACAGGGAGCAGAAGCATTTCAGGCAGAGGACGTAGAACATACTTCTCAAGAGAATGGTTTCTTTGACAATTGAGAGTCATCTGAAGTAGCTGCTGCACTGGGGATGAGGAGGATTCTGAGCTGAAGGTGGAAAGAAAGCAGGAACCAGAGAATGGGTGGTCTGCCAGGTTGGGGAGAGAGTTCCTTCTTCAACCTGAGCGCAACTGACAGTTCTGACAGTCAGGAAAGTTTTTCTTCTCTCTCTCTTTCTTTCTTTCCTTCCTTCTCTCTTTTCTTTGTCTTTTTCTTTCTTCCTTCTTTTTCTTTTTTTCTTTTTCTCTCTTTCTCCCTTTTTTCCTTCCCCTCTTTCTTGTCTTTCTTTTTCTTTCTCTCTTTCACGTTCTTTGTGAAAGAGAACCAGCTTCCTTAAATCTAAATATCTTTCAATGTAAAGTATCTTTAGTGTTTTATTAAAAAAAAACATATTTACTGAAAAAATCCAAACAGAATAAAATATTGTTAGATTGTTTAGGTTAAAAAACAATGTGTTAAAGGATGGAAAAAATGATCCATTGGGCAAATACTTTCAAGGGAAAGCCCCTTGGGACTCTGAACTAGTGCTGAACTCTGCATGAACTTCTGTGTCCCATATCTACTTCCCTTCCCCTGCTTCCACATCACAGCTTCCTGTCCACCCCACTCCGGCTCCCACAGCACACATCCCTCCACCTCTCAGAATCAATAGCTCCTTTCAGTGCATTCCCAAAGCACTTTACACATTGCTGTGTTTTGTCTTGCTGTGTCTGTCTTTACAGGTAGGCTGAGCTCTTTGAGGGGAGATTTATGTATGTATCAGTTCTGGACCTTCATTTAAGCATTCATTCATTCACTTAACAAATATTTATTGTGAGCCTACCATGTGCCCAAAAATGGCCTAGGTTCAGCAGATGTATCAATGGACAAAACAGTCAGTATTAACTGTCCTCTTGGGGTCTGCATTATACACAGCACACAGTTGGTTGCTAGAAGCCTCAATTTGGTATCTTGGCTTCCAAGAAAAAAACCAAGAGGGAATTCCAGTTGTCTGCCACTATTAAGACCAAATTTTCTGAAGAAGTTTGTGTCTATATACCAATATTGTACTCGGTTTAGGCAAAGACATTCTAAAAGCTGACTTGGGCTGTCTTGTAAGGGAACAATTCTAATACCTCCCCTTTCCTCTTGGTTTCTACCTTGGTGGTCATCCACCCTGAAAAAGTGATCATCCTCTCTTCAAGGTGCACATTCACTTTGCTGGATCTGGGGCTAAGTTGGAATGTGGTGCCATTGACACTCATTTCCCTCAGCTGTAAACCCTCCTCTCTTTCTCTCCAAAGAACCAAGAGCCTATGCTGCCACGTAGGTTTGGAAAGCTGCATGATTCTTATCACCTTGCCAGTTTGGGGAATCCTGCCTTAACCAGAAGTTTCTGCTAAGGATATTTATCTGAAGCACAGGCAAGTTTAAAACATTTCAGAGAAGAGAAATTTTTAGAGCTTGTGCTCCACTTTTTAAATTTTCGAAGTGACAGCACAGTAGAAAGTGCAGGAGATTGATATTTAGAAAAATATCAATGATTGTCGCTCCAGTTTCTGCCACTTGCAGGCTGTATGCACCTTGACCAAATGTGAGCATTTACACCTATTTACTGGATCACGCTTTATGCCAATCACCAGCCTCCATGAGTTCATGGTTCAGAAAGAAAGACAGAAAGTAAGCAACTATTGCTGCAAAACATTAGAAATGCTAGCATCCAAGTATGTGATGGGTTTTAGGTGCTCACAGGGCAATTTACTCCGATTGTAATCAAGGATGGCTTCCAGGGAAAAAGCAATAGCTCAGCTGGATCTCTTGAGCCTTCCTTTCATCATTGCGTGAAATGAAAATAAAAGCTTTTACTGCATAGGCTCATTGTGCAGGTTAAACAAATTAACCTAACAGATTATTAACACCCAACAAGTGTTAAATGTCCTCCCCCTTTTTTTGTTGTTAAGGAATCCTAAAAAACATTAACCACAAGAAATACAGAGAACATGACATAACTTCTCCAAGCATAATAAAGTATAAAACAATTACAACTAATGTACCTTAACCCTTTGTGCTAAATATAAAATAACATCTCCCCAGGTACTGTCTCCTCCATTGGGTCTTTATTTAATCTACATCAGTCTCCATCTCTGTGTTCTGGGTAATGCCTTACCCTATATCTAATACACAGTTGGATGGGAGTAAGTACATTTTATTTAAATTAAATTGATGCACACACACACACACACACACACACACACACACACAATGTCTCTACTTGCAAGTCATTGATAATCATTAATTTAATCAAGAATCCAGTGAGAAGTTTATATGCCTTCCATTTAATTATCCTGACTTTATAATCCATGGTCAAGGAAATCCGGAGATTTATTTTGCTGGTATAATCAGTAGCTAATGAAGATATAATATGAAAGCTTCCTGGTCTCCTTTCTTTTAACAGAGATGCCAGGCCATTTTTCTAGTTGATGACTATTAAGAAAAATCACTTAAAGGAATTAAAAATTCCTATTCACCTCTGCTAGGCATACTATATTTCATATTTAGAGCACTTAATATAATAACAATAGATCATCTTAGAAATTTGCATCATGAAAAACAAGAATAGATTTTAAAGTTGAAAAAAAATCTCTCATCAAAAGAAGAAAAGTCAGTTTCTATGTAGAATTAGGTGGTTGATTTGTCATTTTTAAGTCTTTGAAGTAGCTGAAGATCTTAGGTAGTTGAGGATTTGGGGATTTGCCTGAAGTTTTTTGTGTTGCTTTTGGCTTCTATGTAGTGGCCATATTTGTAAGCTATTCCACTGGGGGCAAAAGAAACATGTTTTGTGACATTTTAAAGTGAAAATATTGCTGCGTTTATTCTAAAGTAAATTCACCTGGGATAAGTTTGAGCACAGTAGTCTTGCAACAAACGCATTGAGTGTTAATGAGTATTGAACGGTAGAGCAGATGGGGACCTACAGACTCTAATCTAGAGACTGTTAAGGATGACCCTTAAGGATATATATTTATCCTGGACATATAAAAAGTTTGCAGGATGTGTGTGTGTGTGTGTGTGTGTATCCCATAAATTTTTAAAATTCGTTTCTAAATTTAAATTTTGAATATTCTACATTCAAAAAGCCAGATTTATAGCTTTTCTCAAAAAAAGGAAAGGGTACGTTTGGCAACACAGGGCTTACATTCCTGCACCATCACATTTAACTAGGGTTAAGTGGCAGCAACACCCTTTAAAAGGGTATGTGATTCCATCAAACACCTTCTCCCTTCCCACACCTACCTTTCCTTTCTGCCCCGAAGGCAATCTGGGTTTACAAAAACAGCACTATTCTCACACCCTCATGTTACAGCTAAAGAAATTTCTCCAGGGAAAACAGAGCAAATTAGTTCTAGTCCTGATAATGCTGCATAATAAACAACCTCAAAAGCTCAACAGCATACAAAACTGAGCATTTGTTTTGCTCAGGTGTCTGGGATTCAGCTGGGTTCAACTACTCTGGGCTGGGTTCCTCTGGGGTGGTTTGGCTCCTGGTCACTCATTCTCCTCCCAGCACCAGCAGATTAGCTGAGCAGCTTCTTCTCATGGCAATGACAGAAATGGAAAAGGGCAAGGGAAACACACAAGCCCTCTTAATGTCTAGGCTCATAACTAGCACACCATCACAACTGCCTTTTTCAAAGGAGCAAAGCAAGTCACATGGCTGAAATAAAGTCAAGGGATGGGGAAATGTATGCTGCCCCTTTGCTAGGAGGGACTTCAAAATCATCCTATAGAAGGGTATAAGTGTATAGTTAAATAATTAAAGCCAGTAATCCAATCTACCACTAAAGTGCTATGCGATCACATATTGCACAGCTTCCATCAAGTCCAACTTCACTCATTCACTTGTTATTTCTGCCCCAAAGTTATCTGATTTGGAGATCTAATCTCACCATGCAGACAAGGAAATGTGCAAAGCCCAACAGCATCAGCGCCCAAGGAAAACCTGCCTCCTAGCCCCGTGTTCTTTGCTTCTCACTTTGATGAAGTACTGTTGTCTTATCTGTGTGAAATAAGACCATCCCTCATAGCTTTTGCCAATGGTACTTCAGGTTTTGAAAGAGCAATATTAAAGCTTGAATAGCAATACAGAAATGGGCTACAAATCACTTATTAGAAGGCACTTTAAGTTCTCAAAGCAATCTGTTCCTTAATAATTCTCAAAATTTAATTGCATCATATATAATAATATGGAAATACAGCACTAGAGACCTCTATTAGGGAAGTAAGAATGTTCCACAAATTAGGCAACATTATTTAATCTAGGTTGGAAAATCTCAGCAGGCTCCTCGACACTTTTAGAATTTTTATTTTCTTTGGTCTCTGCTTCTGAGACTTGACACTTTTATAAAACACTGTACTCAAAAGCTAATAAATCATCAAGTCACTAATTAATGAAGAAAGGAGAAATGAAGCTTAGTAAATGAATTTTAGCATATTAATTTGGAATATCATGCATAAATAACCATTGGGTTTCCCTAATTCCTTACAAGGGAAGCTCCAGTCAAATGAATGGAAGCTTTTTTTTTTCTAGACCAAGAGTCCACCCAAAACCCTGTCTCCTGTCTTAGATTGCAGAGCTGATTGAGCAGCACACTAAAGACAGCAATCTGAAGGGCCTTTCAGCTCTGTTTCCTAAGCCTATAGCCAGCCCCAAACACCCAGTTCCTAATGTGTGTTCAGGACTCCACTTTTGTAGTTTTAGCTTTCCAGAAGTATTGTTGTCACACAGGCGAAGTCTACCTCCCACAACACAAAATGAGGAAAGAAATATATAGAAATTAGAAACTTCAAACATGCCATAAGTTCAAAAGATCCAAAGTTCCCAAAGCCACCCCAGTCTAAAAATTCACAATATAAACCTTCCCCAACTACACACACGTGCAGACACACACACGCGCACACACACACACACACACACACACAATTGAAATCCATTCCTTCCTTTAAACTATGATTCCTCCCCAGGCTTATTTTGTTTTCTTGCGAAGAAGGAGGCTGTGGAGAAGAGAAGACAAATGGGAGTTTCTTTGTTCCTCCTTTGCTTCTTCCAAGTTCAGAGTAAACTGTTTTTCTTTCTCTGAAATCTTTTCTATCTATACCATAAATATTCGCTGACATCTTTGCTGGTTCAAGTCTTTCCACTTTAGCCAACCAGTTGGACGATGCTATGATGCCCCCTTGCTCTTTGCATCTTCATCTACTGTGAGTACTTTATGTTTATCATGACCCTTCCCCCAGGGAAGTGAAGTGAATGGGGCCTGCAGAGTTCATCTGAAAACTGGATATTAAATAATTTCATAAATAGTGTGTACCTCCATAAACTTCAACATATCCAGCAGGGATAGTAAATAGTATTTGTAGATAAAGTACTTTGTTATGTACTTTATGGATTTAATATCACTCAAGTCACATGAATATCCTAAAAGTTTAGATTTTCCTTTTGTAGCTGGAAGTGGGAGAGGACTTGAAGAAGAAGTCACTTTTTCAAGGCCACATACTTAATAAGTAGCAGAGCTTCTGTCATGATTTGGGGTTGGGTGACTGTATTAGTTCACTTTCCCACTGCAGATAAAGACATACCTAAGGCTAGGAAATTTACAAAAGAAAGAGGTTCAATTGGACTTTCAGTTCCATATGGCTGGGGAAGCCTCACAATAATGGTGGAAGGCAAGAAGAAGCAAGTCACATCTTACATGGATGGCAGCAGGCAGAGAGAGTTCACGCACGCAAACTCTTACTTTTAAAGCCATCAGATCTTGTTAAGACTCATTCACTACCACAACAGTACACGAAAAACCTGCCCCCATAATTCAATCATCACAGCCCACCAGGTTCCTCCCACAACATGTGGGAATTGTAGGAGTTACAATTCAAGATGAGATTTGTGTGGGGACACAGCTAAACCACATCAGTGAGGGAGCCACGTTGGACCATTACAAGACCCCTTTGTCTTTGATTAAGTAGTACAGTCATAAATCTTTATAAGTCCCCCTTCCAATGCATGTAAATATACAGTTGTCCCTCAGTAACTAGAGAGGATTCATTCCAGGGCCCTCATGAATACCGAAGTCCACAGATGTTCAAGTCCCTTACACAAAAAGTATAATATTTGCATGTAGCCTATGCATATCCTTCCATGTATTTTAAATAATCTCTAGATTACTTATAATCTTTAATACAATATAAATGCCATATGAATGGTTGTTATCTGCATTAAGGAAATAAAGACAAGCAGGAAAAAGCCTGTAAATGTTCAATACAAATGCGACCATCCATTTTTCCAGATATTTTTTATTCACAGTTGCTTGAATTCATGGTCATGGAACACATGGATACAGAGAGTCAAATGTATGTGTATATGATGAATAAAATCAAAGTTATTTCCCTCAAAAAATGTTTAATTTTGTAATTACACACTAATACTTTTGCTTGTGTATGTTTTTGAGATAGTTTTTGAACATAATTTTATAATAGTAGGAATACTGCTAGGCTGTATTTTTCTAAAAGAACTCTTTAGGACAAGTTGTCAGTGCCAAGCAGTGTGGAACCAAGGAGTGGGATAAGTTTTCAATATCTTGATTTTAGATAATTCCAGAAGTTGTGCCAAAGGATAGGAAACCCACCTTCCTCATCCATGTGAGAGAGATAGAAAGAGGGAGAGGTTGAGTACGTGTTTGTGCAACAAGCAGGGTTCAAAAAAGGCTTGCCATGATGCACATCCTATGCTTTAAATTTCCACTCATTCCTTGACTGCCAGGGTGAAGAGGGAAACTGGTGATCAAGTTCTATTGGACATAGTTGCAGCAAAATTTTTACCACTTCCTTTTCCTAGTTTTTTTCTTTGATTAAGGATTTAAAAGATACCTTTGCAGAAAGTGAGCAATAAAATGCAAGGTTTTGTAAATGTGAGAGTCTTTTTCCTGGTTTTTAGTCTAATTGAAAGTCTACTCCAAAATCTAACGACAGTCTCTATCTCTTAAAGTTATTTGGGGGCCAGGCGCGGTGGCTCACGCCTGTAATCCCAGCACTTTGGGAGGCCGAGGCAGGTGGATCACGAGGTCAGGAGATCGAGGCCATACTGACCAACATGGTGAAACCTCGTCTCTACTAAAAATACAAAAAATCAGCTGGGCATGGTGGCACGTGCCTGTAATCCCAGCTACTCAGGAGGCTGAGGCAGGAGAATTGCCTGAACCCGGGAGGCGGAGGCTGCGGTGAGCCGAGATTGCGCCATTGCACTCCAGCCTGGGTAATGAGAGCGAAACTCCGTCTCAAAAAAAAAAAAAAAAAAAAAAGTTATTTGGGATGTTTTATAAACTTCTTTGCACTATGTGAATATGGCAAACAAGTTAATTAATAAGAATAGAAACACACCATCATATTCCATGTGCTATATAATTCGCTCCTCTTGAGGGTGAACTGGCCTACTGACTTGCTCTTAACAAAGAGAATACAGCAAAGTTGATGGAATGTCACTTCCATGATTATATAACATAAGATATTGATGTCTAGCTTGCTATCAGGTGCTGTCTCTTTTTGGCTTTGATAAAGCAAGAAAAAGTCACATTGGAGAGGCCCATGTGTCAAGGAACTGAGGGTGGTTTTCAATCAATAACCATCAAGGAACTGAAAACCTCAGTTCAGCCATGGAGTTTGGAAGCAGATCAAATAACCACAGCTGAGCCTTCAGATAACACCCCGGTCATTGACTACACCTTAATTGTAACACTGGGAAATATCCTGTGGCTGAGGCACCCTGCTAAGCTAAGAGTAGATTTCTAATTATAGACACTCTGAGATATAAATGTGTGCTATTTTAATCCAAGAATTTTGATGGGAATTTGTCAGACAGAAATAAATAACTAATAAACTTAGTCTTAAACACTAATAATACATCAACCACTTCTTAAGCCATTAAATAGTGTATTTTTCTTTAATACTACTGAGAAGAAAAACAAAATTAGCAGAAGTGAATAATGGGTATAAAAAGGGAGATACAAATATAAGGCAGAAATGTTTTAAAGACATAAAATGGATGCAAAGAGCAACAATGAATTGTTGCAAAACTTGTTGTAAATTCACTGTTTGAATACTGAGCTGCATTTGGAAAATGCAAGTTTTAGAACTATTACTTTGAATTGATATTAGTGAACCCATGAAATAAATCTATGATATAAATGATATAAATTTATTTCTGTCAGTAAAGCATTTTGAAAACAAATATAACACTGATATTCTTTGGGGCTAAAAAGAAATTTTCCTGAAATCCCCTCCTGTTGCAACCTAGAATTTCCACTCCTTCTTAAAGTAAAAATAAAAGCATAGATAGAAAACAACTTATAGGTTAATGACCTACATAGATCAGAATCACAAACCTAAAAATTGCGTAAATTCTTACCTATGGATTCAGGATGGTATGTATATTAGTCCGTTTTCACACTGCTCTAAAGATACTACCTGAGATTGGGTAACTTATAAACAAAATATATTTAATTGACTCACAATTCCGCATGGCCTCAGGAAACCTATAATCATGGACAAAGGTGAAGGAGATGCAAGGCACATCTTTCATGACAGCAGGTGGGCAGGGGAGAAATGCCAGACACTTATTAAACAACAAAATCTCGTGAGAACTCATTCACTATCATGAGAACAACAAGGGGAAAACTGTCCCGATTGATTCAATCACATCCTACCAAGGCCCTCCCTTGTCACATGGAGATTACAATTTGAGATGAGATTTAGATGGGAACCCAGAGGCAAACCATAACATTCTGCCACTGTCCCCTTCCAAATCCCATGTTCTTTTTACAATTCAAAACCAATTATGCCTTCCCAACAGTCCCCCAGAGTCTTAACTCATTTCAGCAATAACTTGAAAATCCAAGTCCAAAGTCTTATCTGAGACAAGGCAGGTCTCTTCTACCTATGAGCCTGAAAAACCAAAACAAGGTAGCTACTTCCAAGATACAATGGGGGTATAGGCATTGGGTAAGTATTTCCATTCCAAATGGTAGAAATTGGACAAAACAAAGGGGCCACAGGCCCTATGCAAGTCCCAAACCTGACTTGGCTGTCATCAAAATCTTAAAGCTCCAAAATGTCCTTTGACTCTATGTCACACATCCAGGGCATGCTGATGCAAGGGATGGACTCCCATGGCTGTGCACAGCTTTACCCATGTGGCTCTACAGGGTTCAGCTCCCTCGGCTGCTTTCATAGGCTGGCACTGAGTCCCTGTGACTTTTCAAGGTGTACATGCAAACTGTCATTGGATATATCTTTCTGGGGTCTAGAGGACAGTGACCCTCTTCTTACAGCTTCAGTAGGCAATGACTCAGTGGGAAGTCTGCATGGGGAATCAACCCCACATTTCCCTTCCTCAATGCCCTAGCAGAGGTTCTCCATGAGGGCTCTGCCCCTGCAGCAGACTTCTGCCTAGACATCCAGGCATTTCAATACATCCTCTGAAATCTAGGTGAAGGCTCCCAAAGCTCAACTGTTGTCTTCTGCATACCTGCAGAACCAGCATCTTGTGGAAGCCACTAAGACTTGGGGATTTCATCCTCTGAAGCAAAGGCATAAGCTGTACCTTGGCCCCTTTTAGTCATGGCTGGAGCTGCTGGGATACAGAGCACCAAAAACTACACAGAGCAGCAGAGCTCTGGACCTGGCCAATGAAGCTATTTTTTATTTCTTAGGCTTCTAGGCCTGTGATGGAAGGGCTTGTTGTGAAGGTCTCTGATATGCCCTGGAGACATTTTCCCCATTGTCTTGGCTATTAACATTTGATTCCTTGTTACTTATGCAAATTTCTGCAGCAAGCTGAAATTCCTCCCCAGAAAGATTGATTTCTCTTTTCTACCACATAGTCAGGCTGCAAATTCTCTCAACATTTATGCTCTGTTTCTCTTTTAAACATAAGTTCCCATTTCAAACCATCTCTTTGTAAACACATATAACTGAATGCTTTCAGAATAAATCAGGTCACCTCTTAAATGCATTGCTACTTAGAAATTTCTTCTGCCAGATACCCAAAATCATCTCTCTCAAGTTCAAAGTTCCACAGATCTCTAGGGCAGGGGAAAAATGCCACCAGTCTCTTTGCTAAAGCATAGCAATAATGACCTTTGCTCATCTCTTTGCTCATAAGTTCCTCATCTCCATTTGAGACCACGTCAGCCTGGACTTCATTGTTCCTGTGACTGTCAGCATTTGATCAAAGCCATTCAACAAGTCTCTGGGAAGTTCCAAAGTTTCCCACATCTTCCTGTCTTCTTCTGAGCCCTCCTGTTTCAACTTCTACCTGTTACCCAGTTCCAAAGTTGCTTCCACATTTTCAGGTTATCTTTATAGCAGTGCCCCATGCCCCATACTAATTCTCCGTCAGTTTTCACACTGCTATAAAGATACTATCTGAGACGGGGTAATTTATAAACAAAAGATGTTTATTGACTCACAATTCTGCATGGCTGTGGGGACCTCAGGAAACTTATAATCACGTGGAAAGTAAAGGGGAAGCAAGGCACATGTTACATGGCTTCAGGATTTTGGGGGAAGCATCAGACACTTATCAATAACCAGGTTTATGAGAACCCACCATCATGAGTAAAGCAAGTGAGAAATATTCCCCCATGATCTAATCACCTCACTTTAAGTCACTAAGTTAAATCACCAGGTCCCTCCCTCAACATGTGGAGATTACAATTTAAGATGAAATTTGGGTGGGGACACAGAGCCATACCATATCATTATGCTAGAGCTAACTTCATACTCATTTGTGAGACATGATTGTATGCATCTATTGTGAAATTTGTTTTCAGTATCCTCTTGGTACCTTAAATTTGAACATAAGAGGAAATGATACATCGGAGATGATATAATGGAAGGCAAAGTACAGTATCAGAAGCAGACTGGAGACTAGAATATTAATATCTTTGAGTCACTAAGTTAAATCAAACCTGAAACCTGCTCTATATCTGGACCTTCATCTAGTTACTGAAACAACAACAGAAAATTCCACTTCATTATTTGAGTTGGATTTCCTGTCTTAAACTAAATACATCTCAACAAATAAATGCCTTTTTGGGGAAAACATTGAAGATCTACTCAGCTTTTTGACAAGTTCCATACAATCTACCTTGTGCAACTTTTGCTACTAATTGGCTATTCCAGGATAATAATTTTATTCTAGTTGACAGTATTTACTGAAAACGTTAGTTATACTTATAAAATGATGGAATAAAAGCCATCCCCCAAAAAGACATAGTTACTTAGTACTGTAAAATAGTATAGCATTGGTGAGCCACGGACATTTTAACATATTTTTTTTCATTCTTGATGCAATAATTTTAATACACTCAAACAAAAGGATAAATAAGGGACACTACTTCACAAAAGTACTGCATCTTCTCTGGTGAGGAGAAATATAGAGCTTGGCCTTGTCACAGCTTTATAGTAGGAGCCTATGAAAACTACACTGTTAATTCCATTTCATAAATGACAACATGATGAGTGATTTTCACTGTCATTCATCTGTCAAGAAAAAGTTAACAGGCTGTTAAATCTCTTCCAAGTAAAGTTTAGGAGAAGACATTTCTTCCTAGGGAGTTCAATGAAACAAAATTGAATTCTGGAAAAAAAGTAAGACTATGTTATCTAATGAAAAATAAATAAAATCTAAGCACTTGGGTTACTCTCAAAGCTATAAGCATAATGAATGAAAGTAAAAGGATATATTGTGGTAGGCTGAAAAATTCCCTCCTTCTCTGACATGATTTGATTCTGTGTCCCCATCTAAATCCCATGTTGAATTGTAATCTCTAATGTTGGGGAAGGGACCTGGTTGGAGGTAACTGAATCACAGGAAACTTACAATCACAGGAGGTAACTGAAGACTGGTGAAATTCTTGTGAATGTGAGTGGGTTCTCATGAGATCTGATTGTTTGAAAGTGTGTAGCACTTTCCACCTCACTCTATTCTGCTCCACCATATGAGGATGGAGCTTGCTTCCCCTTTGCTCTCTGCCATGATTGTAAGTTCCCTGAGGCCTCCCCAGCCATGACTCCTGTACAGCCTCTGGAACGTGAGTCAATTAAACCTCTTTTCTTTATAAACTACCCAGTCTCAGGTAGTTACTAATAGCAATGTGAGAACAAACTAATACACTCTCTCAAAAAATATCTGTGTCATCCTCCCTGGAACTGGTGGAGGCTGCCTTATTAACATGGGCTATATAGGTGGTCCCCAAGTGACATCATAGGTGTTCTTCTAAGTATAGGCAGAGGGAGATTTCAGACAGGCAGGGAGGAGGAGAAAGTGATGTGAAGATGTAGCAAAAAAAAAAAATTTGAAGATGCTACACGGCCAATCATGAACATGGATGAAGAGGCATCAACACAGTTTTAGCCCAGTGAAACTGGCTGTGGACATCTGACCCTCCAAAGTGAAAGGGAATAAATGGATATTGTCTTTAGCTAGAACTAGAAGCCATATTAAGTCTGTGGTATGACATCCACAGAAAATTAATACACACATAAAAACAAAAGTTTCAAATAAGGTTTTTATGAAAGACTTCTTTCACTACAACTTACAGCACATCATCAGGACGCCATCAAATGGCTTGCACCTTAACAAAAAGAGGTCACTAGCCACATGGTTGGACAAAGACACAAATCACTCATTCATGACAAATTTGTACTTGGTAATTTTTCTTGTTTCAAAATTAGAGTATCAGTGAGTAATCTATTGTAGAGGAGAAGGTTTGAGATCTGTTGTTCTAAATACCTGAAAATATTTTTTTGCATATAATTGCAATATCTGCTGGAACTGAATTTTGGGCAGTAAAGGGTCAGAAGCAATGGTTTCTCCAAAACTATCATTCTGTATACTCATCCCTGACTTGTGGTATTTGACAGTTAAATATATAAACTATCGATTTTAGAGTGTTTTAAATGTTTAATTTTAAAGCACATTGATAAATATCTAAATCATACTATGAGTTACTCGTTTAATTTTCAAAGTCTGTGATATGGTTATAATTCTTAAATTACTAAAATCTGAACATTAGGAATAGAGTTTTTCCATGTCTCTATTTTTGCAGCTGAATGATAACTTTGTTTATATTTTGCAAAGGTGGTAAAAAATTCTGATTTCTGACTCCTAAGAAACAAAATAAAAGATACAGGCCACTCCTGATTCCATAGCAAACCAGTTTAGGTCCCACTCTGATACACTCCCATAACACTTCATAATTCTCTTTGACAATCTTTGCCAAAATCGTAACTAATAGTCAATTGTGTAATTCCTTGTATAATGTCTTCCTCCCTCGACTAGAATGAATCCCAGAAGAAAGAATGGTATGTGGTTATCTTACTTACTTTCAATTTCCAGTGCCTAACATTGCCTGACTCATAATAAATATCTGTTGTGTGAATGGATTCAATAAATATTTCATATTGTTTCTGCTTATTGAGTTCACTACATTATGCATCTATTAATATTATGTTTGATATTATTATATAAATAATGAGAAATATGTATTTTATGTTACATGCCCCATTTGAGAATATGCGAATCTTAATAATATATTATTCAAAACACTTTATTTTCATTCCTTGAGTATTACAGGGGGAATACAGTCAGAAATATTGAGACCAGGTATTAAAGACATTATCAGCAAAACACTGTATGACAGACATTACAGCATCAGCATGCAGCACTGTGAATATTATGTTAAAGATATAAGTACCTGATACCGATTTTTTGTTCAAAGAACTTACAACTTTATTTAATCATAATAAATGAGAATGACATAGGATTTTCTTTGTATATATTAATAGAAGTTATTTTCTCTGCCTTTAAAATACATAAAGTAAGCTCCCAAAGTAAAATATTTTCAAATTGTTATAGTCAAACTCTGACAATAATAATACATATTCTATCAATAACTACTCCATAGAGTCGATGATACATAAGGATGCTGTGGGAGAAACAAAGAGAAATTATATTCCCACTACAAAGACTAAAATTACTCAATCTGATGCAACACTTATTATAAGGTTAACACAATGAGGGAGTGCTTCAGACAATCAGCAGTAGGGCCAATGCCCACCCCAAGTAAATAAGCAGTGTTTGTCGGAATGGTCAGCAAAGACATCAAATGAAAAGATGGCTTGAGCTGCAATTTGAATGATGGTTGGAAATGAGATAAGCTTAGAGGAAATTCCAAGCCAGAGAAATGGCTTGAACTAAACTGCAGAAATAAGAAAAGATATCAAGCATATTGAAGATAATGAATGGGCCTATTGGACCATATATCTTAGTTAGGCTGTGGAGCATGACCTATTCAGATAATAACTTCTATCCCATTCTAGATGCTAACAGCAATTTTTTGCCTTTCCTTCATTGCTGGCCTTGAAGAAGAGCCCCACTCATGCTACTGAGGGATTTGGCTGGAATTGCTCCATGATCAGGAAAAATATATACAACTGCACAAGCTCCTTTAAAAAGTCAAATTATACGAGAGAAGTAAAGTTTAGTACATTTTTTATTGGTTTTCAACTGGTAATTAATTTGATGACAACTGACATTACGATGTTGATATTTCTAATCAATAAGTATTGCATATTTCTCTATGCATTTAGATGGTATTAAAAGTTTTATATTTTTCTCCTTAGATAACTAAAATTTTCTTTGATTTAATCATGGCCTTTTATGCTACTTCAAATGGTATCTTTTGGACTTTTTCTTTTTGCTTCTATTTCTGTATATTATTATTAATTGATTTTTATTATTTTATTATTGATTTTTATATGTTAAGTATACAGCAAACTTGCCAATATCTCATTAATTTTAATATTTGGTAATTAAGTAATTAGTACATTCTTTTGGCTCTTGTAACTACTTAATCATATTCTCTGTAAATCACAATTTCTAGTCTTCTCTTATAAGTCCTATAGACATGCTTGGTTTGGTTTGTTTTTTGCCATATAATGCCTCTTAGAATGCCAAGAAAAATATTAAATGAAACTAGTAGTGACTTTGGTAAAATTTGTTTCTCCCAATATAATCCTGATTCACCATTAGGTTGTATTTTTAATAGTTGTTTTGTTGGTGGCTAGTTGGTTCAAATATAGATTCCCTTTTTCAGATATAAGAACTTCCATTTTTTCTGTTTGCAAGAGTTTTTATATTATGAGATCTATATTTTATCAAATGTTTTCACAGTATCGAGTTGGTTATATTATTTTTTTCTCCTTTATTCAGTCACAAAAAAAACTATTGATTTTAGCCTATTTATGCCTGAGGTTGCAATTTTTTTCAATTTTAGCAATCAGACCTTGGCGATGACCTTGAGCAGTAGGATATAAATAATTCCCACATGCTTAACTTTCCAATAATGGAACACTAGGCATAAATGAGTTTAAATTGCTATATCAACTATGTGTTTCCAACATAAAAACACTTTTGACTCAGGCTCTGCTATGTTTGCTAATATTTCATAAATATTTTTAACATATATTCATAAGTTAGATTGAACTGTAATTTGTATTCACTCATATTATCATTTTGGGATATGCTCTCAAGGTTGTGCTAGCCTGATAAAGTGAGCTGGAGTTTGTAGCTCCTTTTTCAATTCTTTAGAAGATTTTCTATAATTTTGCAATTACTTTTTCGTTGAGTGTTAAATAGAACTGCTCAAAAATGTCACTGGGCCTGAAATATTGTTTCAAAAGTAGATTCAGTCAATTTACCTTAATGATTATAGAACCCTTGTGATATTCTATTGCATATGGTGTCAACTTTAATAATCTAAATTTTTCCAGGAATTTTCCCATGACATGTAAATTTTCTACCTTTGCAACACGTTTCCTTCCAAATTTTTAAATTTATGCTGGTCATTAGTGATTTTCTATTTATTATATCTTCTAATAATCTACTATAGGCTTTTATTATAACCCTGCTGTTGATTATGTGTGCCTTCTCTTCTATTGTTTTGATCAGTCTCCCCAGAGGTTTACCCTTTTTTTTCTTAAAAAAGCCATTTTGCCTTTGTTGAGTCTCTCCATGGCATGTTTGTATTCTGTTTCAATAATTTGTGCTGTCATTTTTATTATCATCTACTTTCTACTATCTTTGGGTTTATTTTGCTACTATTTTCTAATTTCTTATAAAGGGCATGGAGCTTGCTAATTTTTAGGTTTTTTAATTAGCATAAGAATATAAGGATATAAATTTCCTTCAAAGTGCTGATTTAGACATGTTATGTGGTTTTATATAAAGTATATATGTTATAGATCAGCTCAACCTATTTTCTAATTTCCATTATGATTTTTAATATATTTAAAAGTATATTTCTAAATTTCAAAACATATGGTGACTTTAAATTTATATCTTTGCTATTGATTTGTAGTATTTTTGTACTATGAAAAGGCAATAAATTTTATGGGATTGCAATATTTTAGATTATCTGTGTATTACTTTTTCCCCAAATACCTGTTAATTTTAATATATGTTCCATATTTTTAAAAAGAATGCATAAATTGAAATGAAAATATGACATCAAAATACATGGGATGCAGTAAAAGTAGTGCTTAGAGAGCAATTTATAACATTTAATGAATATATAGAAAAGATTTTAAGTTAATAATCTAATGTCTCACCTTAGGAAACTGAAAAAAAAAAGGAACAAATGAAGCACAAATGAACTTAGAAGAAAAGAAATTTAAAAAACAATTCAATTCCATAAATTAAATAAATGGAATTAAAAATAAAAAAAAATTGAGAAAATCAACAAAACCAAACCTGGTTCTTTGATAGAACCAGTAAGTCTTTAGCCAGGCTTACTGAGGAGAAAAGAGAAGACACAAATTACCAATAATAGAAATGAAAAATGAGCTATCACTACAGGTCCTGTGGACATTAAAAAGTAATAAGGGAATACTATTAACAACTGTAGGCCCACAGATTTGACAATCAAGATGAAATGGACCAATTTCCTAAAAGACATATCTACCAAAATTTATACCAGAAGAAACAGGCAATCTGAATAGGCCTATATTTTATATTATATATCTATATATTAAGGAAATTCAATCAATAATTAACCTTCCAAAAC